TTTCTTTTTCATCTAAGAATATTCAAATAAATTTTTGTAAAGTCAGGATCGAAAAGTTATCATTTATGTAACATTCAATCTGATAAGCTTAGGTTTTCTCCTGTTTAACTTAACTTTCATGATAACATTTTATTTTCAAGCCATACAATAATATTTATTACGATATATATATATATATATATATATATATATATATATATATATCTGCGTTACATGACAAGCCCTCACTTGGAATTCTTGAGGCCAAAGGAAAAGATGGCGACCAATTAACACATTACGCCGAGAAATGGAGATAGACATGAGGAGAATGAAACAAAAGTGAACAGAACTGGAAAGGAAGGTCGAGAACAGAGTAGATTGGAGAATGCTGGTCGGTGGCTTATCCTCCTTTGGGGATAACAGGCGTAAGTTAGTAAGTAATAAGAAACTTGGAAGCACTAGATGTCCTGTTAGGGGACTCATTTAAGATTTGTTTATGACAAATCAATACATAAAAATTCAACGCAATAAATGATGTTATTCTAAACACAGAGAAAAACAGTATTTTTTAATAACACAAATAAATCAAACCATTCTGATAAATGAAACAGGTGTGAGTAGATATATTTTCGCTTAACAATAAAACATTCATGCTTTTTTCAGAATACATCATCACATTCAATTATCAATTATCGGTTCTATTTGTTTTTATTTTACGCACTGTACATAGAATATATGAAAAAGTTACTTGGTGTTAAATCAGACTGCTTATATTATCATACTAGTACATTGGGAAGTTGAAAGACGTAAATATTCATTAAAAGCACACAATGATTAAAGGTACAGTACCGTTTGAAGCCTGGAAGTGTTTGATAACTGTTTATCGAATAACGTAGTCTAATGTTGATTAGTTCCCGATTTCAATCAAACGCAAAAATCTTCACAATTTAATATGATGACAATTATCATGTGCTCACCAGTGACTGGTTTAGTGAGGAAATTCTACTGAGATGTTGTAACTGAAGGAGTTCAACCATGTCAGGTTTAAGGGGGTTACTCAACAAAGACAACAGATGGTGGTCACTCAAAAACATGGATTGATTAGAGTTAGTACATCAACATCGTTGGATGCTTACCCCAATGATTTAGGGGTTAGGCATTCTTCGAGCGGGAGACCGACGGTCCTGTGATCGATTTTAGCTTGCGAACTTCATGGATGTGTGCTGCCGATAAGTCTCAAACTTAAACGGTACGGCCATTCAGTGCACTCAGACTTTCAGTTCACTATTTCAATTAAACTAACATAAATATTCAATCAAAAAAAGTTTAACGCGAAAATACAAGTTTTGAAGAGCGTGTGTCATTAAAAAAAATAGACGATAAAGAGGTTTATGCGAAGTACTCGTGTGAAAATTAACATAGCGTTCTCATATAGTCACAAATGCTTTCAAATACAACCGTTTAATTGAATATCAAGTAAACTTTTCATATATTGTATGTACAATGAGTAAAATAAAAACAAATAGAACCGATAATTGATAATTGATAATTGAATATGATTATGTATTCTGAAAAAAGCATGAATGTTTTATTGTTAAGTGAAAATATATCTATTCACACCTGTTTCATTTATCAGAATGGTTTGCTTTATTTGTTAATTAAAAAAAATGCTATTTTTCTCTGTGTTAAGAATAATGTCGTTCATTGAGTTGAATGTTAATACATTGATTTTTCATTAATAAATCTTAAATGAGTCCTGTAACTGAACATCCATTGTTTACAAGTTTCTCATTCATTTTTTGACTAGCTTCGTGAGGAATCTTCTCCGAGTTCTAGTGGGAAGACGTGACCAGTGAAGGTCAACCTGTTCGGGTGTAGGCAGTGTCTACCGAAGACTGTGTATGAGGTTGCGCAACTCCGTGAATTTGATCAAGTTAGACATTAACGCCGATAGGTGACGGCTCAGTGGTCTAACGGTTAGAGCGTTCGCTCACACCTGGGTTCGAATCCTGCGGGGTGCGGGAGTCGTGGATGCGCACTGCTGAGGAGTCCCATACCAGGACGAGACGGCCGTCCAGTGCTTCCAGGTTTCTAATGGTGGTCGAACATTGGTCGATTCATGGTTTCAAAAAATGTGTAACTGAACAATCTTCACAACCCCGTAATGCAAAGTTTCTTATTACTTACTAAATGACGTTTGTTAATCCCATTGGAGCATAGGCAGCTCATCAGCATTCTCCTACCTACTCTCTCCTGGGCTTCCATTCCCAGTTGTGTCCAGCTTTTCCTTTGATCCTGAGGATCCTAAATGAGGGCTTGTACTGTTGAGTGCTTTCCGCAGAGTGAGTCCTATCCACTCCCAGTGTTTCTTATTTCCTTCCCCCACTGGAATTCTGTTAGTTCTTTCCTGCAGTAGATTGTTGCTGATTATGTCTGGTCAATGAATAGGAAGTATTTTGCGTCGAAAACTGTTAATCAATTCTTTTATCTTCTGAAGACATGAACAACATGTATGTACATACATTGTATATTTTATTTGTTAAATAATCATAATTAGTTTCGTCTTTTATCGATTTTTTAAATACGTGACATTTTGGAAAATGTATGTATGAGTTATGCTCAAAATGGAAGCTATAAATTCTTACAATTCTTCATGTTTTTTTCATATCTGATAGATAAAAAAATGTTTTAACTGAATTCCTTGTTATATAATTGATAAAAAAAAGTTGGTTATGACAGGAGAAACAGGCACTTAAGTAAAAATTACAGGTGTAACCGCTTAGGTGAAAAGTTTATTTTATCATAATCAATAACTTCCAATCTCAGCTAAAGATATTTCAGGATCTTGATCTAACTAATCAGCTACATAAATTTACATACCAAAACTAGGTAGAATATTAAAATTGTTTTCATTTTCTCAATTTTAAACGGTCAGCAAATTTATTGAAGTGTAAAAATCACTGATACTAAGGTCATGCATGTCTTGTTAAAATAATGTGAAAGCAATCAATCAACTTTCATTTAACCAAAATAAAGTCTAATTATTTTTTTCTTAATTGTGGTTCTAGTTAATTTTTTTTGAAAATTTCACTGTCATTAAAAAAGAACATTAACACATGAACCAGGAATATTCACAATTAATTGTTTTCAAATTCAAATTAATTTCATACTTAAATTAATCATCTTAGAAGCGCTTAAGGTTTAAAGCAAATCTATATCAGTTAAAAGATCAAATTTTTGTAAATTAGGCCAAAATTTGAAAATAATATTGTTATTAGTTAAAAATTGATTGTTGAATTTTTTATTGTAACGCATTCAATGTTCAATTGATCAGCATCGTAGTAAATATATTCCGCCTTTTTTAAAATGTGCTGAACATAATTTTCACTGCATACAATTTTGTATATTTAATATTATTTTGTAAAAATTCTTTTGGTTAATGAATAATTTGTTTGTATAGAGATAAATCACACTGAAGTGTATGTAGGTGCCAAACTGAGGTTTGGGTTGAGGAATAACTACTGTCTAGGTAGTTTAGATATGCGCCTTGACCAGCTGAATTCAAAACAAGTGATTTGGGTAAATGACGGTTCTAATATTCATCATAAATATAAATATACACATCATTACCTAAACAAATATCATCACTCAGTTATTCCACCAACAATTGTTCAATTATTCAAATCAACAGCAACAAATAAATGTTATTTTATCTCTCCTGGATAGATCAGATTTGTTGGACAGATAATATTTGTTTGCGTTATAACACAAAGTGTTTCCTATTCTGGAAGAGTGCTTCAATTCACAATCAAAATACACAATTCCAGTCGCTACAAGCGACACAATCAAAAGAGAAACAAATCAATGTGGCTGTCTCTGTGACTAAGTATCAGCATAAACAACATAAATGCAGTTCAGAAAGAAACATAAAAATTCAGTGAAGGCAAAAGAAATAGAAACTATAATAAAATACAAATATTATCATCTCGAAATGGAATCGAAGAGATTGACAAAATGTACAACTGAAGGAATCAGTACGAACAAATTACAAATGTATACACAGGAGGGATTTTCCCAAACGGAGCCTTCAAAAATAGATCTTACGTGTATATATATCTTTACTTAGTATTTACAAATTAGACACATAAATATTATGTAGTCATGAAATATCAAATACATTTCATTAATGCACTAAATAAATAAATTGCTCATTTTGATTCATTCAAGCGTTTTGTTTAGTAAAAGTCACAAAAAACGTTAATCATGTTGAATAGTGGGTGATAGGCAGAGTAGTTTTTTTGTGCATATGGTTTTAATTTGAAAATTTCTGTTGCAAGCTGATAAATCTAGTTGTAAGAATGATTTTGATGGAGAATTCCAGTAAACGAGTGTCATCAGAATTAATTAAATGTCTTAGAATTAAACTTTTTGACCAACTTTTGTAGTTCTTTAGACAGCTATGATTGTATTCAACTGTTAGACCTACTTCCTTCCTTTAGAACAAAAGTGCAAGTTATCCATGCTTCGAATATTACAAAATTTTGGCCTGAAAAAGTACAATGGTTAGCATTAAGTTTCCTGTTTGTCTACTCATTAACATAGTGAGGAACATCTATGTTCTTCCACTTAAAATATCTTACATATTACGTAATTTCAAATAACAAACGAAAAAGACTAGTTCAATCTTGGCTTCTTTGAAAATGACAACCAATAGTTGTTAATCACTAATAAACAAACAAATTCCTGTCATGAAAATGAAACATAACATGGGACTCATTTGAATATTTACTAATTCAAGCTGAAATATCCTTACTGTAATTAATAAATACGCAATACGGGAAAGTCAAATTTCTTTGAAAAAAGTCTGAGTTTAAACAATAAAATTTAGTTTGGACATTGAACCATTTCAATAATAATTAATTACCTATTCAACATTCAATATATAATAGTTTTTTATTCAATAAAATTGACCAAATTGTTATTATTTTCCAATTAAATATATATATATATTTTAAACTTACCCCCAGCAAAACGTGTACTATTCCCGTCAGTGTTTTGATTTGTTCTAGGTAATCGTCCTGGTGAACGAAATGTATTATTTAAATTCTCTCCAACATGATCGAAAAAATTTCTTATATTCGCCAAAATGGACATTGGTTTCTTTTTTTTCAAAGTTAGTTTATTAATAATAATAATAATAATTAAAAATTATTATGTATGTGTTTATGTAATTAAGTCGAATTTCACAACAGACAGATGCAGTAATTGAAGTGTCTGATTTAGTTTATTAAAAATGATAATAATAAGATTATTAATGGTTATTCCTTATGTTATTCAATTGTATAAAAATTGAACAGTGTAATTATAAATAAGCTAATTTATATTTTATTTGTCAAACAAGATTGTAGCTTTTTTTTCCCCAATTTAAAAAGAATTATAATTTTGTAAAATTTTCATTGGTTATTTTGATATGTCTGTTCATTGGAAGATCAATTGTAGTAGATATTTGTTTTGTAAAAAAATAAAGTTTTTACATATTGTGCAAAGGTGACAAAACTGTTACTTTTATGTTGGAATGAATATGATGACGGGTTTAGTTAGGTGGATTGAGTGTTCGGTGTTCAAGGTTTTGGATTTATGTATTGCGTAATAATCAGCGGTAATATTGAAATATGGAGGTTAGCTGACAAACTCGTTTGAGGTGAAGACCGGTGTCAGGCAAGGTTGCTTACTCTCACCCTTTCTCTTTCTTCTGGTGATCGACTGGATTATGAGGACGTCAAGATCTGTAGGGAAGAACGGACAGCTAGGACGCAGCTGGCTCTTCTATCACACAGATGCAAGAGAAGACGACCAGTGTAGCAGCAGCCTCAGACGCAGCAGTAGATCACAACATACATAAAGGAAAAAGTAAAATTCTCTGATGCAACACAACATGCACCAACCAAATCACGCTTGATGGAGATGCTTTCGAGGACGTTAACAACTTTACATATCTGGGCAGCATCATCGAAGAGAAAGGTGGATTCGATGCAGATGTGAGGGCGCGGATTGGCAAAGCAAAGGCTGTATTTTTACAACTGAAAAATATCTGGAACTCCAAACAACTTTCAACCAAAACCAAAATCAGCATTTTCAATACAAATATCAAGACAGTTCTACTGTATGGAGCGGAAACATGGAGAACTACGAAAGGTATCATCCAGAAGATACAAGTGTTTATTAACAGTTGCCGACGCAAAATACTTCTTATTCGTTGACCAGACACCATCAGCAACAATGAACTGTGGGAGAGAACAAACCAGATTCGAGTGGAGGAGGAAATCAGGAAGAAGCGGTGTAAGTGGATAGGACACGCATTGAGGAATGCACCTAACTGTGTCACGAGACAAGCCCTCACATGGAACCCTCAAGGCAAAAGGAAAGGAGGAAGACCAAGGAAAAGCCTAAGCCGACAAATAGAGAAAGACATGAGAAGAATGAACGAAAACTGGAAAGAATTGGAAAGTGAAGCCCAGGACAGAGTTGGTTGGAGAAAACTGGTGGGCGGAATATGCTCCATTGGGAATAACAGCTGTAAGTAAGTAAGTAAGTAAGTAAGTAAAGTAATAGTGAAATACGGATTAATTTTAATTGTGTCTACTATTTTGCAATTTAAAATTAGAGAATAAACTTAATAAACAAAGTGTGTTTTGTCTTTAAACTAGTTGCACATCGGGTTAAATGATAAATGTTTTTAATCTTCCGTTACAATGGAAGTTTGTTAAATTAAGTGGGTCAACGTAACTTATCGTTTGTAACTTTTTATATCAAAATTAACTATTTATGGAGATAGTAGAGACTGTTTATTGTTCGGAATGAGGATGTCGAATTAAATAGTAGAACTCGTCCACAATTCAGTAGCTGTTTGTCTTGTCCAGCCAGAATTTGATTAGTTGTCATCAACAAGTGTTTATTATCGTTGGTTACGTATTTATTTTGTTTTTACTGACCTCTATAAGTTCACAGTAATTTATCATTTTCTTTAGTTGTTGACAGATCAGGTCATTTTTGATATGTCTATTAATTGAAGCTTTACTAAAAGTGTCCTAGATTTCTTTTCATTTCCTCCACTTAGTGTTTTGATGTTTTTTCTTAACCGAGATCATATCCAATAGTCATCCACATGCATTGATATGAGCGAAGCTATGTCTTCACGTTCAGAAAGAAAGTTTGCGCACAAATTTCAAATATCGTGGATGGTGACTTCTAGCGAAATAAATTCTACATAGACTAAAAATTAATGATTACTATCTAGTCAACTTATTCGTAATCAAAAGTGAATAGATATTCCAGTGAAACCATGAACTAAATAATGTTGGCCCACTAATGGAAACTTGAGAGCAATGGATGGTCGTTTCACCTTATAACGAAACCCTTCAGCAGTGAGCATTCATCATCCTGCATACTGGGGTCAAACCCGTTGACTATCGATTCGACATGTGAATGCTAAGTCTCAAGACTCCTGAGCCGATAGATATTTCCTCTGACATGGAACTAATCATGATTAAGCATAATAAAATCCCGCTACTATCATCTTAATAAAAAACTGATACACCGAATTTCAAAGTACAATTGTTTATTAAAATATCATGCTAGTTTTACAGTTAGTTAAGCGACGTAAGCTTTAATCACTGATCCACTTGATTTTTCCCTTCACACTTCACTAATATAAGTTAGTAATAATCATTGTAAGTAGTTAGTTATCTGTTGGGGACGTTAGATCCCCAGAACTAACTTGGAAAAGGTCCTAATTTTGTAATTTCTACATGAAATCTTGAATTTTATGTTTTCGCGCCAAAGACGCTTATTTCGACTTTCAGCTTACATTTTCCACTCGAGAAATACGTCACTGTCATTGATTGATGAATTATTTTAGTATGCTATTTTGTGGCTCTCACCAAGGGCGTTTTATCAACGTGCTTAGCAACCTCGTACTCCCTAGGTGCCTGTAAAATACAATTCTCCACAGCTTTTGAAGACTTCATCCTGTAATTAGCGGGGCCTGGAACAATCGGATTAGAAAAGCCTATCGCGTCGCTGAATCATTGATCTTCATTCCGTTCACCGAATGAAATGAACTGATAATAGTTCAAGCTTATCATGATCATTCACTATTGAGAAGAAACCATATAACTAGTTATTATCAGTCTGTTACATTTTATTTCTCAGACTGTTGCAATAATGAACCGATTCATGTAGCGTTTACTTATTAAATTATAAAAAATGTTTCCATTTTTTCTTCTAAATATCTGTATTTGTGTCTAGAGATTTTTTATACTAATTATCTGAACTAAGTTTGTTTTTTGTGATAATTAGTGACAAACTATTTTGAATATGTAGTAATATTTTCCATACAGAAGGATACAAAATTCAGCTGGTTATTGGTAGTTTGAAGCTAGATTTTGTACTTTCAAATTCTTTACATAATCAATAGTTTAGCCTGTTATATTTCTTTATTTGATATAGGCTGAAAAAAATCATCAAATAATTATGTGCTTGCGAAATAGTCTTATGGAGTTCGGCGTTTTACATTGAAATCATGAATGAAACATTGTTAGACCACCATCAGAAATCTAGAAGCACGGGGTGGCCATTTCTTCCTGGTATGTGACTTATCAGTAGTGCGCGTACATGACTCCGCGACTCGCAGGATTCGAACCAACGGTCTTCGGTCTTGCGCTCGAACGTTCAACCTCTAGACACTTCAGCATAGCGCATCCTCAATCTAAAAGGGTGTAGGCAGTGACGATCGAAGACAATGGATGAGGTCGCGCAAGACCATGGTAGATCAATCACAGTTGAACATTTGCACTGTTGAATGCTGGGTCAGTGATTAAGCGTTCGCGCTTGCAGGGTTGTCAATGCTCACTGCAAAAAGAAACGGTCTTTCAGTTCTTCTAGCTTTCTAATGGCCGCCGAACCACATTTTCAAAGCTTGTAAATGTGACGTAATGATGATGAAGTCTATCAAATCTTCATTGACAAACTAGAAATGAGGTTAACTGAATTACTGCCTTTGATCAGCCTTAAATAGGATGAATTGAACATTGAGAATTTATTTAAAATTGTGATTTCCTTTCTTTATTTTGATGTTTCTACTTTTATTTTCTAGGAATATAATTAGCTATTTTTGTTCAGATAAACATTATCACTGATATTATTTATCTCTGTGACTATTAAATAGATACTATAACTAGGCATCTGTTCGTAATAATAATAATAATTAGAAAAATACAATTTTTCATATGTAACTAATAAAAATATCATCACGAAAAACAAATTTTTCTTTATATCTTAATCGTATTGTTGAGATAAGCGCTTTTTGAAAATATATTTCCGTTATTATTATTGTTATGAGTATTTTTTTATGATTTCGTATATAAAATCTAGTTCACAATAGATGAATGAGAAATCGTAAAACATACAAACATATTTTATTTAGTATAGAGGTTTATGAAATCGTAGAATTTTCACGGTTTGCTAAAAGTATCAGTGAGATACTGGAAGCATTTGGTCGCAGCATCTTATTCGTCAGCGGTACTTACCTACTTACTTACGCTTGTTACCTCCAATGGAGCATTGACCACCGACTAGCATTCTCCTATCTACTCTGTCCTTGACCATCTTTTCTAGTTCTGTCCGATTGTCGGTTATTCTTTTCATGTCTGCCTCTATTACTCGTTGTGATGTGTTGCTTGAAATTCCTGTTTTATTTCGACTTTAAGGGTTCCAAGTGAGCACTTGTCTTTTGATGCAGTTGAGCGAAATCAACCAATCTCATTTTTATGTTGACTTTATTGAACCAGTCTGTTCAAAAGATATAAGTAGATTAAAACAAGGAGATCTTTGTTAAATAATCATTAAAGTTACACAGGAAATACTCATTTACTTTAAAATATTCGCCGATTGTGCTTAATGGTTGGAAATTAGTATTTTGCAGTTCCTGATCTTGTTAGAAATATATGGGCTGTATATGGCAGTTATCTGGTTGGTATATCGGTAATTTGAAAAGATGCAGATCCAAACAGATTTGGATGAAGTTCATAAAAGACGAAAAAATTTCAAGAAGAATACTAACTTCTTTATCATGGCAACAAGGTTTTCTATTGATACAAACAAAAAAGTAGAAAAAACTGTTTCTTACTTACTTACACCTGTTACCCGCAATGGAGCACAGGCCGCCGACCAGAATTTTCCAACCTACCCTTAGCTCCGCTTTCTTTTCTATTTCTGACCAATTTTTGTTCATTCTTCCCATGTCTGTCTCCATTTCTCGACGTATTATGTTCTTTT